TACGGCGATCAGGTTTTTGAAGTTGAGCAAGTGGAGTCTGAGATGCCTACTGGATGTTCAGGTGGAATATTAGGTCTTTGGGTCGGAGAGCAGAAGACATAAATGGCAGGGCCAAAAGAACAAAGCCGAAAAATGCAAGGCTCCGGGCTCCCAACGAAACTCTTTACACAGTAAAGAGAAAGCATGCTTTCACGCACAATGGACAAGTGGGATTTACGAGCTCGAAAGTCGGGGCGCAAAAGAGGAAATACGGTAACTCGGCGCTCGGCTTGCACTTCGCGGGAGCTGCTGGAGCTCACAGACCAGGCCTGCGCCTGCCGCGGGCGTTCTCCGTGGGAACTTGTCCTAAGTGGGGCTCCGCGTGCCTTCCTCGCGGGCGGTGAAGCTGTGGCTGCTTGTGGCGAGGGTCTTGACTCGGTTCCTAGAGCCATTTACCCCGCTGGATCAGCCTCCTGGAGCTAGCTGGCTAGGAAGGACCAGGAAGAATCTTCTTCCTGGTCGGGACAGGCCGCGGTGGCCGAACCCAGGCTGGGTCTCCCAGATTTTCTGGCTGGAAACCAGTCCAAGTGGCAATGTGAGAACTGGGGAGCCGAGGAGGCCCACCCTCCTCGGTCTCAGAAGAAATCAAGGAGCGGGGTAACCCGTCCAAGGCCCCACAGTTAACCCGGGAGCCGTGTCAGTCTCCCAGTGACTGGGGACCTCGTGGTGCCAGAGGAGCTGGGGGACTTCAGTTTCACATTTACCAGCCCTGTGTTTGAGCTCCTCCTCTCCGAAGTTCCTCAGTTGCCTTTTCTGTAAAAGAAGGAGTCGCTCTTGCCCTGCCTTGCAGCCTTATAGTTGGACAAACGACTAAAGAAAAAGCAACAGCTGGTCTTGACCAACGCGGCACTGTCCTGGACTCCTGGCACCAGGCCTCGCGTCCTCCCAGCTTTGCAAAGCTCCGGGCCTCTCTAGCCTTTGAGAGGGAGCCTGGAGGGAGGGAAGGGCCGGAGTGGATCTGTCAGGTCCGAAAGGAGCCCCAACACAAAGCCACGGTGTCTGCCCTGCGCCAGGGACGCCGGGGTCAGTGACAGGGGCCTTGGAGGAGGAGGGGCAGGGAGAGCGGAAGTCCCCGCTCCCGGCCGGCCCCGGGGCAGGTGAAGAGAGAGCGGGCTCTGCTCCAGGTGGCGGGGCAGAGGCGGGGGAGGGGGAAGGCCCGGCAACAATAGCACTTTTATTTGGGACTGTTGGGTTCAGAGCGGGTGGGCGGAGGAGGAGGACGCCGACCGGGCCGTGGCATCTGGCTACACACCTGCTCCTGCTTAACCCTGTGCGTGCTGGGCGCTCGGTTGGCGGGGGCGAGCTAACCCGCTACGGAAACTAAGAATCCGGCTGGGGACACCTCCCTCGGGCCCTTGGCCAGTCTTGGAGATCTCCAAGAACAGAAGCAAAACGGACCCCAAGAGAGCTTCCGGTGCTCCTGGCTGCGTCTTTGGCCCTGCTTTGGGAACCAGGTGGGAAACAGAAGGCTGCCGAACAAATCCGAATGTTCCGGGATGCCGGGCCTCCGGAGGCGTTGTGACGTCCCGGGCCATTCCAGGCGGGGCAACGCTGCGCAGGGCACAAGCCATCGCAGAGCACACTTCCCAGTTAGGAGCTGCAGGTGAGCCGGGAGTACTAAGCCCGGACCGAGCCTCGCGGGCGCCCCCTGTCGGCGGGGAGGTTGGGGCCCCGCGCTGCACCTGCCCACACCGGGACCCAGTCCCCTTCCAGCCCCACTTCCCAAGCCCGCAGGTCCATGGTGCCCCCCAGGCTGGCCCGAGGCTTGGCATGCTGACTCGCTGCACAATCCGAGCTTGTTTATAGGCGGAGGAGCTGAGCCGGGTGCGGCGGACCTGAGCCAACCCACTGATCCCATAAAATATTATTTGTGTTTAAAAATTCCAGTAATTGGCTATGCAGCCGCTTTTTCCGAGCCCCGTGCCAAGAGCAGTAAAAATTCGCACTCCGGTCGGAGTTATTTTCATCATGCAAATTCCCATTTTCTGTAAACAGGGTTAAAACATTTGGAAGGCCTTACCCCCCCCCCC